TTGATGCAGCCCTAGCCTAAAAGACTTATATGTGCAATCTTTTCATAATTGTAACCTTCTGTAACAACTGCTTGTTATGCATAGTGTTTGCATTCCACAATTAGGTCTTCTTCTGGAAATTCCTATTTTCATCATTGTAATGCACTTGGACTTAACCACAAGGCTTTGCATTTAATTACAGGCTCCTTATTAGGTTACAAAAACTAAAATCTTTCAATTTTGCCTTTAGCCAGACTTAAACTATTGACCTTAACTATGAAAGGTATAGGAGCTTAACTGCTAATCTATGGAACCCACACTCTTTGCAACTATTCTTTGAAATATTTTATCAATATTTATTTGTTTAGATTGCTGCTGTTGTAGATTTATTTGTGAGATTCTTCTGTAATTCTATGTTGTAATACCAAATGGCCAATAAAGTTACCTGTCAAACTGTTTGTTACTTTTATTAAATAGCCACAGAATTGAAAGTCTATTAGTTTTATTAATCTTAAACAAACATCTAACTATCCATTTATATAGTTGTACAGATTTATATAACTAATAATAACTCCATATCTAACTTTTTTTAGATATCTTATCAATAGATACAAGTTAAAGATCTTTAAGGTTAGGTTTAGAAGGTTAATTCATACTAGAACTACTTTCAGACATATTGCTAACTATATGATCATTATCATGTTCATGATTTACATCATGTTTGCTAGTTATATAATTACTATATCTATTAGTTACATGATTATAATTATGATTATTACTATTTTCATCACTTAACACTTTTGATAATGAAGTTGTACTAATTGTATTTTTGTTAGGATGTTTTTTTATTTTTGTTTCTGCTGTAGTTTTGTTATGTTTTCTTAATTGTTTTATAAACAATTTATCACTATCAGAATTCACTTTTGATCCAAGTTTAATATCACTTAAAGGACTAAAGCTAAACATATTTTTTGTTCTATACATTTCATGTTATACTGTTAATTTTTACACAAGAAAGATGACTTTTATGCAGATTATTATACAAATATGCTATTTGTATATAATTAAAAATTATAGAATATATACATTCTAATAATCAAGCTTTTTGAAAATTCAAGTATAAATGTTTTGTTCTAATAATTATCTTCTTATTTCATCTTTTCTCTAACTGAACTTATGTAAAATAAGAGAAAAAATATTAGCATTTAGAATAAAGATCCTATTTATATAAAATATAATTTAATAGACTAGTAATTAAACATTATTATCAATAGTTAAAGAAAATTAATCAAAACTTATATGATTTAAATTTAAGGTAAAGTCTGTTGCCAAATTCTAACATAGAGAGTTTATGTTATATTCTAAAGCTCTAAGTTGAAAGTTTAGTCTAAATTATAATATATCTTACTTAACTAAAAATTCAAACTATTAATCTCTAATAAAAATTGATAGCTAATTTAATATCAGAGTATATAAAGCATAAATATTATTTGAAATTGAAAAAAAAAGAATATTTAAAGAATTAGAAAATTTTTATGTAGATAGTATAAGCATTAAAAGTGAATAGAAGGTATTTGAAATATAAATTATAGTAAGATAAATAGCAATTATATGGCTTAAAATGAAAAGAAAATACTAAAATAGTAGTTAGATCAGAAGTAACAATAATATGAACAATTAAATGTTAAGGCCAAAATAGAAAGAAATAAAAAATAAATAAATAAATAAATAAATAAAATGAATAAAAAAAAGCATTCAAATAGCTCTTGAAGTTTGCTAAAGTTAGATATTAGATATTGTCATGATGAAGTTATAAAAATTGTTAAAAAAAGAAAAACACTAAGTGGTATATAAAATCTGCAGAGTGATTACTCTAAAGAAAGTTGAAGAAAGATTGAGTGTTGGATATTGTCATAAGATCTTGGATTGAATACTATAATATTTTTTATATAACATCTTATAAAGAGTGAGAGGTTTAATATATTATTGCTGCTTTATCTTTGTTCATTATCTACTTGCACAATCATTTACCTTTGTTTAATATATTTCTAAAACTTACTAATTTGTATTAGAGGCATTATGTCTCATGCTATATAATATATTAATATGCATGCAGGCTCATTAATATAAAGCATAATATCTTTAGTATAAGTTAGTAGGTTTCAAGAATATATTAACTAAAGTGCATTACTTAAGATTATAAATTGAATGCTACAATATTTCTTAGATAGCATTTTATAAAGAGTGTTATTCTAGAAAAACAACTACTTAATAAAGAAAAGTGATTGTAATATATTATTGCTGCACCAATATCTACATTTTATACATTTTAATAATTAATATATTTTTAAAATCTATACATCCAGAGCAGGGCCACAGAAAAATTTGGAAATTATTTATACAAATTTGGAAATTATATAAAATCTAAATTTTTATGTGGTTCTGACCTAGAGGCATTATGCCTCATATTAATACATTAATATGCATACCACTTTACATAACAATCGATTAAAACATACTAGAAAAATTTACTGCTCAAAAAGTGGTCTTGTAGTATATTTTCTCTATCTTGCTTACAAAATAGCATGATACACATTTTTATAAAATTGTTTTGATTAGTGTTAGTATATCATTTTTGAATAAAATAAATCTGCTAAATCCTGCATTTAATAATTATCATATAACTTTTTAAAAAAAGCAAACAATCATTATAAAGATATGTACTGTACATAGCATTGACGCATTATAAATTTCTATAATGCTACAAATATCTGTAGTACCTACAGATACATGCAAATATCCGTTAGATTATTCTTTTGTAAGCTGGCAAATATAGGTTGTTATCTATAAAACATTTATAATATCTAAATATGAGGTTAACTGTGCAGATATTTGAATAGGCAGTTAACAGATTTAATTTCTAGTCAGAGTTAGGTTAGATAGCACCTAAATAGATATATAAGAGCTTGTGCACTATTTGCTAGTATAGTATAAAGGTAACTTTATACAAGTTATATAACTATAATTGAATTCACAATAAAGGCAATAGTTGTCGATAACTAATGACCTTAGCAAAAGCAAAAAAAAAATAATAATATTCTTCTAATTAGAAAATTTTTCTAAAACTCAATATTATATATATATATATTTTTTTTTTTTTAAGCAGTTATAGTAGTATTTTATTAAATTATTTGTAGCTATATATGTAAATACAAAATATTATTTAACTTATAAGTTTATTATTATCTGATTACTCAAGTGGTACCTAAATGTGACCTGCTGCACTAATCCAGTTAGAACTAAAAATTACAGCTTATTTAACCTTTGCTTTACAATAGGATACCACCAATCTGAAGACATTTTCTTGTAGTAAAAAAAAAAAAAATAATTTTAAAAAGTTTTTTTTTTTTAAAAAAAAAAGAGGTCTATTCTTTATCTCTTTATTAATTAGTCAAATTACATATATAAGATACATGTTGAAAAAACTAAACTAGGGAAGATGGAGGTAAGAGCTACTTTACTCTCAACCTATTCTTTGCTAGAATGGTCAGTAAACCTCTAGTCTTTGATAAGATGATGA